TATGGAAATTGCAAAATGTACGACATGTTCCTGGCCTCAAGAAAAATCTGATATCTATGGGTCAGATTGACGATGAAGGATATACAACAACATTCGGCAACAGATCGTGGAAGATAACCAAAGGGAATTTGGTTTTGGCACGAGGCTTCAAAAGGGGAACACTGTATGCAACTGCAATACAAAGAGATACTATAGCAACAGTTGATAATGGCCGTGATACAACATTGAGGCACCAGAGACTCGGGCATATGAGTGAGAAGGGAATGAAGCTTTTGGCATCCAAAGAAAATTTGCCAAACCTAAAACATGTTGAATTAGGTTTGTGCGAAGATTGCACTTACGGGAAACAAAAGAGAGTTAGTTTCTCAAAGGTGGGAAGGACGCCAAAGAAAGAGAAGCTGGAACTAGTGCATACAGATGTGTGGGGACCAGCTCCTGTAACTTCTCTAGGAGGCTCACGCTATTATGTCACCTTCATTGATGATTCCACAAGAAAGGTATGGGTTTATTTTCTGAAAAATAAATTTGATGTGTTTGTTACCTTTAAAAGATGGAAAGCTGAAGTTGAAAATCAAACAAATCTAAAGTTAAAATGTCTGAAGTCTGACAATGGAGGAGAGTATGATAGCCAAGAGTTCAAAGCATTTTGCTCAGAGAATGGGATCAGAATGATCAAGACAATTCCTGGAACACCGGAACAAAATAGTGTTGCTAAGAGGATGAACAGAACCCTAAATGAATGAGCTAGAAGTATGAGAATACATTCTGGATTGCCGAAGTATTTTTGGGCTGAGGCTGTTAACACGACAGCTTACTCATAAATAGGGGACCCTCTGTACCGCTGAATTTTGAAATTCCTGATGAGGTATGGACAGGAAAGGAGGTAACTCTCTCACATCTGAAATTTTTTGGTTGTGTTGCTTATGTGCATGTAAACTTTAATGATAGAGATAAGCTTGATCTTAAAGCCAAGAAATGTTTATTTATTGGATATGGTGATAATAATTTTGGTTATCCGTTTTGGGATGATCAGAATAGAAAGATCCTAAGACACAAGAAAGTCGCATTTAATGAAAATGTGATGTACAAGGACAAGCTTGAAGTAGAACCAACCAACACCAGCAAACAGACAATGTCTGAAACAGTCGAGTTAGAAGAAATCTTAGAAAATGAAGTGGGTAGAGGGATAACAACTGATTCTGAAATTGAAGATGAAGAACCAGAAGCCGAATTTGAAGAAAAACTAGAAGCCGAACCTAGATCAGAACCAGAACCGAAACCAGAGATAGAATCAAATGCAGAACCAAATCTAGAATCAGGACCTGAATCAAATTCGGATTCTGTTACTCATGAACCTACATTGAGGAGATCTAGAAAATTCACGAATGCTCCAGATAGGTTAACTCTTTGTCTTCACTATTTACTTGTAACTGATGCTGGGGAACCAGAGCATTTTGTTGAAACAATGCAGGTGATAGACTCTGATAAGTGAAAGCTAGCCATGAAAGAAGAGATGAATTCTCTTCAAAAGAATAAAACATGGATACTTACGGAGTTACCAAAAGGAAAGAAGGCATTGTAGAACAAATGGGTGTACAGAGTCAAGGAAGAACATGATGGTAAGAAGAGATACAAAGCACAATTAGTAGTAAAAGGCTTTCAGCAGAAGGAAGGAATTAACTACACCGAGATCTTCTCTCCTGTAGTCAAATTAACTACTATTAGGTTGGTGCTAAGTATCGTAGCTGCAGAAAATTTGCATTTGGAGCAGCTAGATGTTAAAACTGCTTTCTTGCATGGTTTCTTGAAGAAGACATCTACATAAAGCAACCTAAAGGTTTTCAAGTTTCTGGTAAAGAAAACCTTGTGTGTAAGTTGAAGAAGAGTTTGTATGGTTTGAAACAAGCTCCCCGACAATAGTACAAAAAATTTGATGGATTCATGCATAAAAATGGTTTCACACGATGTGAGATGGACCATTGTTGTTATATCAAAAATCTTGATGAATCCTATATCATTTTTACTGTTGTACGTTGATGATACGCTAATTGCAGGATCTAGCATAAATGAGATCAATTTGGTTAAGCAACAACTGGCGGAGGAGTATGAAATAAAAGACTTAGGACCAACTAAGCAAATGTTTGGGATGAGGATTAGCAGAAACAGGTCGGAAGGAACCTTAAAATTGTCTCAAGAAAAGTACATACAAAAGGTACTAAGCAGGTTCAGTCTTCATGATGCAAAGACCAGAAGCACTCCACTCGGAAGCCATCTAAATCTGTCAAAGGACCAATCACCTAAGACAGATGAAGAAAAGAAGTACATGTCCAAAGTTCCATATGCTTCAGCAGTAGAAAGTTTGATATATGCTATAGTTTGCACTAGACCTGACATAGCCCATGTTGTTAGAGTTGTCAGTAGATACATGTCAGATTCAGGAAAGGAGCATTGGGAAGGTGTAAAATGGATATTGCGATATCTCAAAGGCACTTCAGGTTTGACACTTTGTTTTAAAAAGAGCAATATTATCTTACAAGGTTTTGCTGTTGCAAATTTAGGCGGCGATCTAGATAGTCGAAAAAGTACCATGTGCTACGTGTTCACCTTGGGTGGTACTGCTGTTAGTTGGATGTCCAGACTTCAGAAAAGTATTGCTCTATCTATCACTGAAGCAGAGTACATGGCAATCTCAGAAACTGGAAAATAGATTATTTGGCTCAAGAATTTTCTTAAAGAGCTAGGTAAAGAGTAGGACAATTGTGAGCTCTTCAGCGATAGTCAGAGTGCAATTTATCTTGCCAAGAATCTAGTGTTTCATGCAAAATTGAAGCATATCCAGTTGAGGTATCATCATATCCGAGAGTTGATAAATGAAGGAACTTTTTCCCTGCAGAAGATACCAGGATCAAAAAATCCGTCAGACATGTTGACTAAAGTTGTCGGTGTTGACAAACTAAGGTTGTGCGCTGCCTCAGTTAGCCTTCAAGACTGATAGCGTGAAGGCACCACCAGAGAATAGCAAATTTTTTTTCTTTCTTGATGTAACATAGCTTTGAGGGGGAGATTGATAGGACCAAACCTATTGTTGTATGTGAAAGTAGACAAAACAAAAGAAAGAAAAATCAAAAAGAGATGAAAATATGATGTAAGCGCTTACATCAACATTCTTATGATGTAAGCGCTTGCCTCAGCATTCTTATGATGTAAGCGCTTACCTCGACAGGGCATTCAAATGCCTATAAATAGGGGTCTACATTTTCATTTGTAGATCATCCCAAAACTTCTTCTTTATCTCTTCAATTAATAAAGAGCTATTCTTTGTATGGCCGTGGAGTAAGCAAAAATTATCGAACCACGTAAATCTTGCTTTGTCTTATCTTGTACAGTTTATTGCTTTTCTCTCTTAAATATTCTTTTCCTTCTATTAGTTTGACACGCTTCCTAACCGAAACAATGGTGCATTCTTGTCTTGTGGAACAGGAAGATCGTGATTAAATTCAATAAGAGAGCAGAATAAAATTAAATTCAATAGAACATCTAAAGTGCTCAAAATCCCAAGGTATCCATACAGTTTGACAATAAGTTAACTACTTTGGCTGCGAACTTTCAAGGAATTTCATACAAATTATTTTAACAGAACAACTATTTACATTTTCAGACAAATCTATCCTTTCGCATCCTGATAGTTTTAATGCTGAATGGTCCATCAAACAGCGTCTAAGAACCCTTCTCTTGAGGAGCACAAAGTTTAAGATATTTATGGCTTCAGTTCTCTCAATTCATTTTCTACTCATGTATGAGTAGAAAATGGGTTCTTTACATGACAATTTTCCAACTCTAGTACTCCATCCATTCCGGAATGAATGACAGGGTTCATAGTACATTGGACAATGCATCTAATTATATTCTGCAATTCTGGTGCTATCAAATACGAAAAGCTAAAAAAATAAAAAAAACGCTTAGATTTCTTGGGGCTTAAAGAACAAATAGACGGTCCATGGACGATGAGGCACATGCCTTACTGCCTTCGTGCCTGTACAAAAGCACCGCATAGGAAAAGCAGAACACTGATCCAGTTTTACACCGCTTGAGTGTTAAAGTGCGGCTTAACCGAGCCTTTGACAACACCGGTGAATTTTACATTGATTTTTTATTTTCTCAAATGAAATTACATAGTTAAGAGTTAAAAGTAATGTAAATCAAAATTCTGTAGCTAAAAATATCTAAAATCTGATTGAGAAAATTGTTTATCTTTACAAATTGTTAAACATGTCTCCTAGATTACTTCAATAAAACGGCAGGTCTCTCTTGGACATTGTTCAATAGGTGACTCAAAGTTGAGGGATGATTACAAAGATCTAATCTGGATTAAATTGTAGAAAACAAACTGAAATCCACAGATAGCAATATGTGTAGGTCATTAGGGATGATAGTTAAGAGGAACTGGACACATGGGTGCAAGAGGCACGCCCGCGGGGAGGGGTGTCGGTGACGTGGTATAATAGGGTATTTGTGAATCAGAAAGAGCTGGTAAGGGGCTCTTAAGCTTCCATTCCCTCACTATCACCAATTTAATGGCAGAAAACAGGACGTCATTCAAGCTTATTTCTGTTTGCAAGGATGTCAATATTCTATCAACCCAAACTAAGAAGTGCTGCAAAGAATTGGGACCTTGAATCTGTTCTCTTCCTTTTAATCTATGCGCAAAAATGATCTGACGTGGAACACTACTACTCAATGATCTGCTAATTCTATTTTTTGCAGCTCCAAATAATCACGGAAATGAAGATACTCTTTAGAAAATTATTTGGAGGAGGGTCCAAACTAGCAACTTTTTATGCATAGGAAGCAGCCTGGAAGTATCACTCGACTAGATATCAAATGAAAAAAATGGGCACTTAGAAATGCGAATGGTTTTTAGTTTTTAGACTAGATAGTTCATCATATTGTGTTGCTTCATGAACAGGTCTATACTTGTGGTCCTTTATCATTGAAACTGGGGATTTTCTGGATGATGACGTCTTCCATCAAGGAATTCTTTGTACCATGGAGGCAATAACATGTAGCCAGGAAGAAACTTCCGGATATGAGGTGTCCACGCTCATAGACGTGAATAGAAAAAGCAAGCCTTATGTATTGGTAGATTGTGACTGTTCTATCTTTGTCTAAAAGGATAACATTCATATTAACTTTGAAAATCATGCAAGTATTGCAGCAACTTTGTACAGGGATTAGCACTCTGTTTGGTGCCTGATTCACTGAAATTTCGAACTTTACCACCTATCAAAAGAAAAGAAAGACTAAAATGGTAAAAGAGTTACCTTCCCATCATATTCTTTCTTGAGTAAGACCTCAGGAGCAATATATGCAGGTGTGCCGACAGTTGACTTTGGCTGCGAATGCAACACTGAGGACTGCAAGCAACAACAGTCAAAAGGATGCTCAACAAGATATGAAGGACACATGAAGAAAGAACAAGGAAAAAGAAGTTCAAATACTTCAAGGGTTTGAGATACAACAAAATCTCATCCATGTCATGAAAATTTGCGACATCAACCAGAAATTCAACTGAAATTAGTGCACCACTGGAGAGTATGCTTTCTAAGAACGCTCAGTACGTAGTTGGTATAGGAAAAGAGTAGAGAGAAAACACTCGATACCTTTGAATATCCAAAATCACAAATTTTTAGCCTTGGTGCCGGGCTTCCGTCCAGTAATGTGTTCTCCAATTTCAAGTCTCGGTGGCAAACTTGCTTCATAAAAGAAAATAATTGCAATCAGGATCTTTTCCATAAACTGCGTAGATTCTTCCTTTTCATTAAAAGGCAGAGAAAAGTAGCAGTAAGTACCATGGCATGACAATAGCTGACCCCTGATACGAGTTGTTGAAAGAAAAAGCGTGCCTGCAGCAAAAATTTCCAGCTAATAGATAATAAATGTATACAGGACATAGTAACAAGCAAAATCGCATTGTAAGATATAAACCTCATCCTCACTGAACCGGCCTGCATTGCATATTCGCTCAAATAGCTCTCCACCAGATGCAAATTCCATCACTATAGCCAGATGAGTTGGGGTCAGTATGACCTGGAACCAAATTGTCATTCATTAGCATTAACTATCAACTTTACAGAACCTTAACAGTTAACAAAAATGGGATTTCAAAAGTACCTCCTTGAATCTGACTATGTTAGGGTGCCTCAATGATCTGTGGTTGATGATTTCTCTCTGGACATTTTCATCAATCTGCAGCATTCATGGATAATGAACAAAAAAATAAGTTAGATGAACTGGTAAACGGTAAATGGCCAATTTTCCTTTGCTTAAGTTTGTTACAAGTAACTGATACATCCTTGGTCCCAATGCACATGACACTACATAAGGTTTGGCACCATTCTACTAAACAATATAGTTTTATTCTATTTGGCTTTCAAATCATTCAAGAATTCAAAATTCAATGTTAACTCTACAAACTTTTTAACCAGTACTTTAATGTTTTCTTCCACTAATACTAATATAACATAGATCAAACTAAAATTTTAAGTTCCATGTGCGATCCAATGTGTCAAATAAAATAGGATGGAGGGAGTGGTTCGTTTAACCTATCAGTTTTCTGCAACAACTGTAGCAGGGATTGTCACATTCCTAAACCTAGAGTGAGCAGAGTTCATTCTTTCTACTTCTCACCCCAATCCCCTACATAGTTCTCATGTTTGGATGCAAAAACCAATATTTTTAGGGATTGTCAATCAATGCCAACTCCCCACCATGGTCAGAGCTACCAACACCCACTAAATCATCCAACTGACAAATAAATCAAGCGAAACCTGGTTAAGTTTTCCTAATACTCCTTTCAATCCACCTTTTTTGACTTTCGTTCATGTTTTGAAAAAATTGGCACCTTTTTATTCCTAAAAACTATTTAACTTTAACATTCTAATTTTTTACCCGTAATAAAATGTTCTGATTCGAATGACATGGCTTATTGAAAACCAAAAGTCTTATTTTTGCTAAACTTACAATCAAACAGTTTGTTGCATTAATAAAACAAAAGGAGTAAATACGGAAAATGGTCATATTTATCCCTGTACTCTTTAAAAACGGTTATATTTGTCCTTCATTATACTTTTTTTGATATATTTATCCTTACCATTATACTTTAGGATCATATTTATCCCTGTACTCTTCAAAGAGGGTTACGTTTGTCCTTCGTCATACTTTTTGACATATTTATCCTTACACTTATACTTTAGGATCATATTTGCCCCTCATCCATTAAATCCCCATGTCCCACCTTTGTTTTCCTACATGGTGCCTATGTGGATTTCTTTTTCCTCCAATTTAAATATGGTCAACTATTTAAGATAATTTAATTTAACCATAAACCATAAACCATAATTTGGTTGTCTACACTTATTTGTGTCTTTGGCAGCCTNGTCTTTGGGCAGCCAATATATAAAATATAGTGGCTTCATTCTGATAATTCACATTACTCTAATATTATTCGTCATTGTAGGTTTATGTTAAACCAGGTCGAAGATAAGGGGTGGAGCTAGAGTATTAGGTATGGTTTGAATGAACTCTATAGCTTTTGTTTAGATTTGTGTTCTATTAGGAAATACATTAAATATGTATAAATATTTAATTACGAACTTAATAACTAAAATGAGCTATGAGCAAGATCAGAACCCATAAACTTTAAATCATGAGTCTGCCATCCAAAAAGTTGAATTATTTAGATATATTTTTTAAAATATGTAATTTTATTTTATTTTTGAAAAACATGAAAATTATATACCCAAATCACAAAAAAAAAAAAAAACTAGATGTTTTGACCCTTGTAATCGAATTCTTTCATATAAAATGAGAGGAGGGAGCAATATTTTCTTTTCGAGAAAAAATATGTTTGAGGAAACCATCCTAGACAATATTAGGCTTCTGGTAGTGCTCTATTTTAAGCACGGACCTTTGTCATTAATTCCATCGTTGTGCAACTTCTCGTAATTTAATTTGGTTACTGCAATAATTGTAAGCTGCATCAGATTAGTGATTTTGAGTTCAAAGTTCTTGTTTGCCAATATGTTGCCGCTGCTATCCGAAAAATATGGAGCTGAAAAAGAACATTATCTTAAATAGGTGACCATATTTAAATTGGGTGGGCGGATTAAATTATCTTAAATAGGTGACCATATTTAAATTGGAGGAAAAAGAAATCCACATAGGCACCATGTAGGAAAAGAAAGGTAGGACATGGGGATTTAATGAATGAGGGACAAATATGATCCTAAAGTATAAGTGTAAGGATAAATATGTCAAAAAGTATGACGAAGTACAAATGTAACCCTCTTTGAAGAGTACAGGGATAAATATGATCCTAAAGTATAATGGTAAGGATAAATATATCAAAAAAGTATAACGAAGGACAAATATAACCATTTTTAAAGAGTACAAGGATAAATATGACCCTTTTCCGGAGTAAATATAAACAGGTAATTACATATTTAACCAAAATTTCAGCACTCAAGAAAGTGACAAGGTGCACAATGAAACGAAAGAAGTGGAACACTAACCTTAGCACCTCGCTCTATATACTTAACAGCAACAAGCTCATTAGTCTGCCTATCTCTCATAAGCCTTGCTACTCCGAAATTCCCCGAACCGATGTCTCGAACAAGCTCGTATCTATCACTATCGTGCATGATCGGTACGTCCATCCCTGGTCCCACCGTTAGCGCCGTCCGATCCATAACTTATCTTTCTCTACAACTCTCCTTCAGCCGAACCTCATATTGACATCATATATCATCCGCTACCTAATAAAAAATCATTATGACAAAGAATTAACCACAAAAAGAAAAAGTAACTATCAAAACAAAAGATCAGACAGGAGAATCCACATGGTAAAGGATGAACCACAGGATTTTGAAGAAGAAAAGAAAAGGTGAATAGCGCTTAGTGATGAGCTCCAAACCCGTGAACAAGTCTTCACTTTACCACAGCAACTTTACTTGCCCTCGACTTGAACTGTATGCATAAATACACTCGTCGATTATAACACAAAGTAATAATCAAATCACAATTTATTTTCGGCTCGCATATATGTATATTTAAAATAGTTGACGAAGTGAGTGTTTGAACAACTTGTTCTTCTTTGGAATTCCAGAAGGGGGACAGGGATGAGTAGGCAGTAGTACTATAATAAATAAGCTTTTTTATAAAGCTATAATAATAGTTTCGGTTCTCTCTGAATCAGTGAAATAAGGTGGCAATACTTTGTGTGAACTGAAATGACGAAGGTGACCTCTTTAACTTAAATTAAGGGACAGGTTGGCGTCAGAATATGCGAAGGTGAACCTTTGCCCTTTGGCTTAGTAGATAAGGTTGTACACAGAATCAGAAAGTGTCTAAGTGCACTGTGCAGCCAAGTGTTGAGACTTTATTTATTTTTGAAGAAGTAAGCAGAAAAAGTTTTAAAATTATGAAATAAAAAAGAAACAATTAATAAATACCGTAGACATTGATTGGGTGAGGGTTGAGGCAATGCTGCAATGTTAAATGTCGGGTATGGAGGGGGTAGGGTGGGTCACCACACTGCGCGCACTCTTTAACACTGTTCTCATTAAATCTCGTTTTAGAAACGCCAGCCATACGCGGAAGTTAAGGTGCTGACCGAACTTATGGAAGGTATATTCTGATTAATTGTCGACTCAATCAGATGCAATAGAACACGACAAATTCATGCGATAGACTCATACATATCGTTGGTGTTACTTCCTGCAACGAGGAGAGAAAGAAGAGCATTTGAGATGAGAAGGTGGATGTTATTTATTTGAACATTGTATACGGTCGAAATCAGGTATGACCGATTCCGTTGGCTCGAGGGTCACTTTGAGAACAAGTTCGAAATGAACCAGGCTCGAGCCCGAGGGAGGAGTTCAAGACTCGAATATCGAAGTGCTCGATGAACACCGATGCCAAGTATGACCAACCTCGAGATAATACTGTTATGGTTTCATAACAGAAAGAGCGAGATTCCCGTAGTGGCCCTAAGATCACGGCGTAAATTTCAGAACAGATTTGTACTAGGTGGTACTTAGACAGCTGTATAATAAGATTCCCTACTACAATTAGAATTGTACTTTATTTAGGATTTTCCTACTATATAAAGGGGTCCCCGATCATTTGTAACACATCAACCATTGACAAGAGAATTTACACTCTTCACTTTCTTGCTTATTGCTCATCGGAATTGTCTTTTAGCTTTATTATTCTTACTGACCTACCTCGAGGCCACCTTAGCTCGAGGTCAAGACTGACTTGTTCACTTGTTTGATTCAACTTATTTCTTTAATTTATACGTTTGATTCTTTGATTATCAGTTGGTATTGGACTAAATCATATATCTTTAAGACCTCAATACAAACTTAATTGTTACTCGGATTTTAGGGTAAACAGTTTGGCGCCCACCGTAGGACTAAGGATAATAATGATTGATTCAGTACTGATTATGATAACACACATTGTTTTCATACTTGTTCTGGCCAAGAATTTTTGTTCCCAAGTTAAAACATGTCAAACTCACAAAACGCACCCGTACATGACGATTATGGTCTTGGATTTCAATGGGAAAACGATAATGTAGTTGCTCCAGGAGCCGGTGTGCCACCGCTTAACCCTGGGGAAGTTCCGGTTGTCGATCCAGTCATTATTAGTTCGCACATTGCTTTGAACGCGGACTTAGGCGCAGATCCCGGAGGAAGTGTACGCAGGGAAGGCCGATCTGGTGGCCAAGGAACACAGGGTGTAAGAGACGGAGGAGTTAGTCTCGAAGTAATATTCGAGATGCTACAGGCTTAACATGCCACTATTACTCAGCTTCAGAGTCAGCATAGAACTCCGAGTATGGTCGAGCCGGAAATCACTCGTCGTACCGAGCTAGTGCCGGAAAGGACGAGCAATAACGGATCAGGGATTGATCCTACAATTATGAAAATGCTTGAGGAGCTCACTAAAAGAATCAAGTCGAGAGAAAAAAAGATCGAAGATAATGACAAAAAGGTGGAGACGTAAGTTGATCAGATACCGGGGGCACCCCCGATCTTAAAGGGCTTGGATTCAAAAAAGTTCGTGCAGAAGCCTTTTCCTCAAAGTGCGCCCCCGAAGCCCATTCCAAATAAGTTCCGTATGCTAGATATACCTAAATACAACGGGACCACTAATCCTAATGAACATATCACCACGTACACGTGCAGGATAAAGGGGAATGACTTAGATGACGATGAGATCGAGTCCGTTTTGTTGAAAAAATTTGAGAAAGCTCTATCAAAGGGAGCAATGATTTGGTATCACAACTTGCCACCAAAATCCATCGATTAATTTGCCATGTTAGTTGATTCTTTTATGAAGGCGCACGCCGGGGCCATAAAAGTTGCAACAAGAAAATCGGACGTTTTCAAGATATGACAAAGGGATAGCGAAATGTTGAGGGAGTTTGTGTCCCGATTTCAAATGGAGCAAATGGAGTTACCACCGGTTCCAGATGATTGGACCATTCAAGCTTTCACACAGGGGTTGAACGAGCGGAGTTTGATAGCGTCACAACAATTGAAGAAACATCTGACCAAGTATCCAACTGTAACTTAGGCAGATGTGCATAATTGCCATCAATTGAAGATCAGGGTCGAGGATGACCAGCTGGGATTCCCCTCGGGTTCAGTTCATCCAAACAGATTGGCAGTTAAAGTCCCAAGGGATACTGACTGGGAACCGAGGTCGAACAGAGAATGGTATCAACCATATGTCGCAGATCGAAGAAACAATGGTTCGGGGCGCAATCCTCCCCGGAATGATCGAAGAAATGATTGAGGGCAAAATTCTCGGGGACTTATGAGTAAGAATGGTTTTGATAAACATACCGATCCAGCAGAAGCGCCTTGGTTATCGAAGTATAATTTCAGTGTCGATGCATCAGGGATTGTATCGGCTATAGCGAGGATCAAACACACCAGGTGGCCTAGACGTATACAAACCGATCCTTCTCAAAGAAACCCAAACTTGATGTGTAAATATCATGGTATACATGGCCATATGACCGAAGACTATAGACACTTGAGGGATGAGGTAGCTCGATTGTTCAACGAGGGCAACTTTTGAGAGTTTCTCAGCGATCGAGCTAAAAATCACTTCAGAGGAAGAGATGCCAACAAAAAGAATGAGCAGGAAGAATTGCAGCATGTAATTCATATGATCGTTGGCGGGGTCGATGTCCTACAAGGGCCTATATTCAAATGTACCAAGGTGTCGATCACAAGAGAAAAGCGGACTCGGAGTTATGTGCCCGAAGGCATCCTATCATTCGACGACGAAGAAGCGGAGGGCATTTCTTAGCCGCACAACGATGCCATAGTAATTACTATTTTGTTAAATAAAATTCAAGTTAAACATGTTCTAGTAGATCCAGGTATCTCAAAAAACATAATCAGATCGAGGATCGTAGAACAACTCGGCCTGCACGACCAAATTGTGCCTGCATCTCGGGTCCTAAACAGTTTCAACATAGCAAGAGAAATAACAAAGGGGGAGATAATCTTACTAATAAATGTGGTTGAGGCCATCCAATATACAAAATTCCATGTCATTGAAGGCGACATGAGATATAATGCACTGCTTGAAAGGCCATGGATCCACAACATGAGGGCAGTACCATTAACCCTTTATCAACTTATGAAATTCCCGACAATGGATGGTGTGAAAATAGTTTACGGGGAAAAAAACGCGGCAAAGGAAATATTTGCAGTCGACGAGGTGACGCCGATATCAGCACCTTCGACCTCAGAAAAATCGAACACCAAAGACAAATTTAGGGAAACTCTATCAAAGGGAGCAATCATTTGGTATCACAACTTGCCACCGAACTACATCGATTCAAATGCCATGTTAGCTGATTCTCTTGTGAAGGCGCACGCCAGGGCCATAAAAGTTGCAACGAGAAAATTGGACGTTTTCAGGATAAGACAAAGGGATAACTAAATGCTGAGAGAGTTCATGTCCCGATTTCAAAAGGAGAGAATGGAGTTACCACCGGTTACGGATGATTGGCCATTCAAGCTTTCACACAGGGGTTGAACTATCGGAGTTCGATAGCGTCACGACATTTGAAGAAAAATGTGATTGAGTATCCAGCTGTAACTTATGCAGATGTGCATAATCGTTATCAATCGAAGATCAGGGTCGAGGACGACCAGTGAGAGCCCCCTCGAGTTTATTTCATCCAAATAGATTGGTAGTTAAAGCCCCAAGGGATATCGATAGGGAACCAAGGTCGAACAGAGTATGGTATCAACCATATGTCACAGATCGAAGAAACAATGGTTTGGGGCGCAATCCTCCCCGGAATGATCGAAGAAATGATCGATGGCAAAATTCTCGGGGATTTATGAGTAAGAATGGTTTTGATAAACATACCAATCCCGCAAAAGCGCCTCGATTATTGCAGTATAATTTCAGTGTCAATCCATTGGGGATTGTATCGGCTATTGGGAGGATCAAAGACACCAGGTAGCCTGGACCTATACAAACCGATCCTTCTCAGAGAAACCCAAACTTGATGTGTAAAATATCATGGTATACATGGCCATAGGATCGAAGACTGTAGACAGCTGAGGGAGGAGGTAGCTCGATTATTCAACAAGGGCAACCTTCGAGAGTTTCTCATTGATCGAGCTAAAAATCACTTCAGAGAAAGAGACGCTAACAGAAAGAATGAGCAGGAAGAATCGCAGCATGTAATTCATATGATCGTTAGCGGGGTCGATGTCCTAGAAGGGCCTATATTCAAACATACCAAGGTGTCGATCACAAGAGAAAAATAGACTCGGAGTTCTATGCCCGAAGGAATCCTATCATTCGACGACGAAGAAGCGGAGGGCATTTCTTAGCCGCAAAACGATGCCTTGGTAATTCTATTTTATTAAATAAAATTCAAGTTAAATGTGTTCTAGTGGTTCCAGGTAGTTCAACAAACATAATCAGGTCGAGGATCGTAGAGTAGCTCGGCCTGCACGACCAAATTGTGCCTGCATCTCAGGTCCTAAACAGTTTCAACATAGAAAGCAAAATAACAAAAGGGGAGATAATCCTACTAGTAAACGTGGCCGGGACCATCCAATATACAAAATTCCATGTCATCGAAAGCGATATGAGATATCATGCACTACTCGAAAGGTCATGGATCCACAATATGAGGGCAGTACCATTGACCCTTTATCAAATGATGAAATTCCCGACAATGGATGGTGTGAATACAGTTTACGGGGAATAACACGCGGCAAAGGAAATGTTTGCATTCGATGAGGTGACATCGATATTAGCACCTTCGACCTAAGAAAA